ACACACACGCACTGACTGTACACGGTCGTGTCATGGAATAAACCACTCCAGCACACACATGCACTGACTGTACACGGTCGTGTCATGGAATAAACCCACTCCAACACACACACGCACTGACTGTACACGGTCGTGTCATGGAATAAACCCACTCCAACACACACACGCACTGACTGTACACGGTCTTGTCATGGAATAAACCACTCCAACACACACACGCACTGACTGTACACGGTCGTGTCATGGAATAAACCACTCCAACACACACACGCACTGACTGTGCACGGTCGTGTCATGGAATAAACCACTCCGACACACACATGCACTGACTGCACACGGTCGTGTCATGGAATAAACCACTCCGACAAACGACGTCGCACCGACGCTGTTGTTTCTGCGTAGTTTCTTGTCGTGTGGTGCGGTGCGGTGATGCTATTGGGATAACACATGCTTCAAAAGTTTCCTCTTGTCATAGCCGTATTGTGTTGTCTTAACGAAATGAGTTAGGGGATGATTTTAGGTTTTTAGGTTAGCGGTCCCCAAAGACCTCCCACCACCATGCCCTCACAACCACGCCCAACCCCCATGCCCTCACAACCACACCCAACCCCCATGCCCCCACCCAGTTTTCTTCACATCATCTTATCGGGGAGGGGGGTTGGTGCTGGCAACTATATAATATATATATATATATATATATATATATATATATATATTTCAACATAATTGTTTTATTTTATTGTCATGCCGTCTTACCTTAAACCGATTGAAAGCCCCAAATAATGACATACGGTACCACATAGGTCCGGGTTAAATCTACACCTGGAGATGCACCACCAATCCCCTGCACTTACTGCACAGTAAGATTTCGTGCCAGAATCGGCCTCATGGGCCATCTGCGCACCCACAGCCAAATTCACACTTAGCATATACGATGATCAAGTCGGTCATGGTCAATTTTCGAGTGACGAAACTTTAACTATATATACATATAATCAGTATCGCTACAGCCCATGTAGGGACCTGGTCTTACTCTATATAATAATAGTATTGTTAAGTACTCTAGTTTTGTAACGGATTGGTTGAGCACTGGTGCGTGGAAACCACGGGATTATTTCCACCGTCCTCGGCGCATTGCCCGGTAAGCACTGGCTTCGAGAGTTTATAGAATACTTCCTCCCGTGACGGTATTTGTTGTCGCGTTCATTAGATAGTTCCCACATTCTTGATACCGGTACTCTTGACAAGAGAGGGAAAAGTGGCGCAGTAATACACCACACGAGAGCGTCTAAGCCCTGCTATTAAAAAAAAAAATAATTAAATACAGCTACTGCTCGACCTACGACCTATGCAACTTACGACCATTCGACTTTGCGACCACAATCACTAGCCATAGTACTGTATTAGATTTCAGATTTATTTCTGCCTCAATGATCAGTCGAACAGCGTTGTCTGCCACCATCGGCGGTCATGAACATCGACAATTATGATTTATAACGATAATAAAAGAAATGTATGATATAACATCACTTCACATTGCTGAACACATGGCGTACTCAACTTACGACCAACTCGTGTGACGACTAATCTGTCGGAACCGATCGTGGTCGTAAGTCGAGAACTAGCTGTATATACATGTGTGTAGATAGCCAATTAACGGACATATATGTGTGTAGATAGCCAATTAAAGGGCATATCGGTGTGTAGATAGCCAATTAAAGGACATATATATGTGTAGATAGCCAATTAAAGGACATATATGTGTGTAGATAGCTAATTTAAGGGCACATATGTGTGTAGATAGCCAATTAAAGGACATATATGTGTGTAGATAGCCAATTAAAGGGCATATCTGTGTGTAGATAGCCAATTAAAGGACATATCTGTGTGTAGATTGCTTTTAAAGTGTATATCTGTGTGTAGACAGCTAATTAAAGGGCAAATGTGAGTGTAGATAGCCAATTATAGGAACTATATTATGTGTGTAGATAGCTAATTAAAAGATTTCACTGACGGGACTTTTGATCAAAGATATATTTCGTCTGATATATTCCTGTAGTTGAAGTGATTATTTTATCATTGGCCATTCTTTATTTTTACAAGAATTCTTCTACTAATTTATGCAAGGATTCAACCCCTTTTGCGACGGCTATATTCGCCGCCTAACAAGTGGCGAATCGGATTCTAAAATGGTATCGCGGTACCGGTACCGTAGTGTGCAGCGAGATTAGCCAGATGTGACGCACAACTTTTGAGACTTTTTGATAATGCTGGGAAATGGAATTAACATGATAGGATAGGAATCTTGGTTATATTCTGTCTAACAACATGTCTCTCGATGGTCATATCTCTCACACACATTTGTCGCTCTCTCACACCGCTATCCGTCAGATCAGCTCCATCCGCCTCTAGCCACTACCTCACAGTTTAGCGCAACAAAAACCCTAGCCTATGCCTATGCCCTTGGTCTCTCTCTCTGGTCTTGACTATTGCAACTCTCTTCTTCACCAACAAATATGCAAAACACATTCACCCACTTTTATTTCATCCCCCGTGTGTGCTTTCTATTAATAGATTACTTTGTGCTAACACCTTAACTAAATGCTTCTTCATTACACAATCAAGCTGAAATCTGAGAACATCATTAAATTTTAAAAAAATACTTGGAAAACACACTAAAAAAAGCAAGGAAAAAAAAAAAAAAAAAGAAACCTTTCTCTTCATGTGGCCATGCCGACATTAGATAAACAAGATAACTTTTAAACACTGCCCCGGGATTATCCCCACAGCAGGCACAAGGATGGCCTTGAAAATTTTCACTCAAGAATTTGAAGGCGCGGTCACTGCCGGATTGAAATCTATTTATAGCTCACTAGTTGGAAGGAAATAGCACAACATGCCATGAGGCAGAGCTTCCGCTTTCTATCTCACGGGTCAAAGGGCACGTTTGAGGTTAAAGTGCACGTAAAGTGAAGTGGTTTTAATGCAATGTTTTTGGATGCGCCTCGGCGCCTGATGGCGGCACCTCAGGGGCGGCGACTCCACGTGCTAGCAGGATTGTTTCTTCTCCTGCTCTTAGTCAGGAGATCTGTGGAGCAGACTACTGAGACGCCCCTGTCCACGACCAAAGGTAATTTAAGGACAGCTGTGATTGTCTTATAATTCACGGGGTTAGGAATCAGGAATTAACGGTTATTTGGGAGGGGGGGTTAAGGGGTTGAGAGGAATTGGTTAGTTAGGGGCGGGCAAAGGATATGTGTTATGTATATTTAGCCTCTGGTTCATCCTGGTTCCGCCGCTCTCCCCTCTCCACATGTTTTATATTAATAATGATACTGAGTAAACAAAAGGCTGTCACGCAGTCAGCTTTTATTAGTGACGTCTGAACTCCAGTAAAAAAAAATATTGATTTTTTTTTTTAAATTTAAAGGGAGGGGACTGTCATATTAATCAATAAAGAACAACGGGTATGGCCGAGGACTGTCTTTAGGAATATCTGTGGGACTATTGTTGAAAGGCCGGTAGGTGGGTTCTAGGACTGTCTGTAAGACTTTTGTTTTAAAGGGCGGCATATATTATAGAAAATGAGAAGTTGAAAAAATGAGAAGACCCTAATTATGGGATGGGGTGTTTAGACCGTAAGAGACATGACCATAATTATAAGGTGGGGGTATTTGGACTGAGAGAGACAAGGCCTTAATTATGGGGTGGGGGTGTTTAGATTGCAATTTAAGACACTAATCATCCTTTATGTGTGTTTTCTCTGTCGATTTATTGTAAAGGTGTCAAACTTAAATCAATGTTTGATGATTTTAATGACGTAGGAATTGACTATATGGGGGGGGGGGGCTTCGGGGGAGGTCCGATCCAGGCAACTTTTCTCTCTTTATATTGACGGTTTGCATTTTTGGCAATTTTGTTGGGAAAAAAAAAAGTGCGTGGGGTGGGAATTGTTTGGTTCATCCCGGGCGAAACTGAACCTAACAGTGTCACTGCACCCTTCTTTTTCCCCAGCCTTCCACCCCCCCCTCACGCACGACTCTTATCTAACGTTATCTCCACGTCTAGCTCACCCCCCCCCCTCTCAATCCTGTTACTAACTCACATAAGAACAACAATGCAGCTTACTCAGTCAGTTAGAAAGTTTTCATTTATCAGCTATTGGAGGGTGGGGTTCGGGTGATGGCGCCCCCCCCCCCCTCTTCCACAAGGCCAACAAGGGCTGTACTGTTAGCTTGTCGGCACCAGGAGATCAGGTTTACACGCAGAAATTGTTATGAAACTTCTGCCAGGGGATAGGTTTTTGATGTACACTTTGTAGCGTATGGTGGATTCTTGCACGCGCAACGCTCCCAGTCGTCCCTGGTCATCACCACCACGCCACCATAGGCAGCAGCACGGGATTCTTTCGTAATGGTGGACAATGTTGTCTGTTCAAAACTCCCTGGATGGTATTTTGAATGGGTTTTTTAAAAGAAATTCTTAGTGAAGTTAAGAAATTGGTGTGAATTTACGTTAGCGGTTTAAACGCTTAAACCACAACGAGGAATAAACGTAGACAAGATAAGATAATGTGATATGTTTTGTTATTGTGTTTCTACAGATATAACAATGATGAAATAATAACTAGAATCTTATGTGGCATTGGGAAACATGACTCCCGAAATAAATGATATGATTAGAAAATTATGTTACTATACTGTGTTTAGAAAAAGTGTAATTTCAATTTGTATTATCGAAAGCCCAACAATTAAATAGAATAGTTCCATAATCCCCTTGTAAGAAATTAGAGTACCATCTCCAGTTTATTATTTTAAAAACAACAAATGCAACTTTAAATATATTTTGGTACCGTACATTTAAAAGTAAATACTTCAATGGATCATTAGGCCTACAACTTAATTCATAAATTATTATATTTTTAACACTTTTCTGATGAAATGAGGGATGGCGTCCCAAAACCTCCCGAAAGTATAATTTCACCATTTCACCGTCTCACTTTTTGTATTGTTTACTTTCAATAATACATACTATGAATAAATTATCATACACTTCAAGATATCTAAAATGTAATGTTTCGTCATTAATTGGTGTCATTTACTTATCGTATTCCATGGCTTCTCCGGCAATAATGTGAAATCGTTATTGTACGGTTGTTTAGCCGGAAGTACGAGGTACTACTTTGATTTTAATCTTCTGGTGGGGAAAATTGAAAGTGCTGTGATTATTTTGCACTACATCAAATTACAAAGTTTAAATGTCTCCTTCTATTTCCATCAGTAATTAACCAATTGAAGTAAAGGTACCAAAGTAAATATTAAGCCTGGTCTTGTCTCTATCTTTGAAATTAAACAATGATCGTAATATTTATTATTACGGTACTAATTTTATAATATTAATTAGCATGGGCATGGGCGTAGCCAGTGGGCTTAGTGAAGTCTGTGACAGTGGACAGTGGTCTGCGTTTGGGTCGTTAGGTAATTGTCCAGTTTAGATGCCCAAATCAAATGTGTGATAGTTATGGAACATTGTCCAACTTTATGTTGTATAATTTGAAAACTGGTAAAAAACCGTCACCCAGATGATGTACTCTAAGACTCTAACTCAGAAACTTGAAAATTTAATTACTAAAGATGTTATCCTACACCCACTCATACTTCATACTAGTCATACTCATCTTACACTTTCACATTTCCGCCTAGCCCATCATAGTAAGCTGCCCATGTCATAACTGTGTTATAAGCACAGGTAGCGTTAATACTAGATTTTGTAAGGGCCTAGCCCTAATATTAATTTTGTAATAATTATTAATTTAGTAATAATTATTAATAGACATAGGCCAACACTTAGCCTAACTAACCACTGCACTAAAAGAATAAAGAAGAAAGTTATACGTCCATGAGTTTATCTTTTGGAGCAAATTCAAGAATGATAACATATTCTGCCGTTTCTTAGCTACATTTGCTGCCAATTATCTATATCAAATTTCATTCTGTTTTATGCTTAAATAAACGGCTTAATTTTAATTAATTACTTTTTGTGAATTCGGGCACCTAAACTGCACAATTACCCTGCATTGGGTATGAACATGTGCCATTTGATTCAAGCACTCACCACCCATGCCATAATATTCAAATATTAAGGATCACCAAGCCTACATCAAATAAAAAGTCTAATTCTAAAAAAATGTAATATTCAATTGAATATACTTAAAACTTAATGACTCCAATTGAGTTCAATCCCCCAATAATAGCTGAAAACTTACCATTAGCATCAGTCTAAGAAAGTTTGCCACTCCCTCTCAAATCTGACTAATGGCAGGGCTATCCTTTTAGATTTTTCAGCTAATGTGAAGAGATAGCATCCTGGTTCCAATAGGGTCAAAACCCTGGTTCCGAAAGGGTCAAAACCAAGATTATTGATAAATTTAGGGTTCAGGTTAGGTTTAGGGATAGATTTAGGGTTCGAGTTAGGTTTAGCGATAGATTTAGGACATAAGTTCGCGGGTCGCGGCAACAAAGGTAAAAAAACCGGTGCTATCTCTTCACAGATACCAATAGCTTAATATGCCTACACTTGAAGTAAAGTGACTGTTGAACTTTATTAATTTTTAAAAAAAATCGAAGAGCAAGTAAGCATGGCATTACATTAATTATGAGTCAAAATACTAAAATAATACTGAAAAGTTGCTTAAATCAGTAATTGATTAATTATGTTAGTGCCCATACTCATACAAATATTGAATCTAAATTCTTGGACTTTGTCAAAAAGTCAAAACATTGTAAGATAGCAGTGTACTGTTATGAAGGTTTGTGACTAGATCTGAAACATAAACTATTGGTTGGGGAAGTATGAAAATGAATACAGTAGGCCTACAGATTTTTCAGGTAAAATTTTAAGTAATGGAATGTTAAGAATAAAGGTTCTTAACTTTTTGCAGCGTTACACCCCCCGATTGATTTTAAAAATTTCCATCACCCCCTCTCATTTTAAAAACATTTTAGTTTCTCTTTTCTAGGGGTGTGCCGGACCCCGGTCCGGAATCCGGTTCCGCCGGATTTTGCACTATCCGGTGAAATCCGGTTCCGCCGGATTTACATGTATCCGGAACAACCGGATTCCGGAATCCGGAATATACCGGATTTCGGAATTTGCCAGATTTTGTGACTCACCGGATCATAATCTGAAATAAAAGTAATTCTCTTTCCCGAATTCCACACGATCACGATACATTAATCGATTGTTTCGAGCGTTGAGCTTGTTTAATGTTTAATATTCCGTACATACCAGAGGCTAGAGTCAGCACCGCTAATAGTGGCCAATAGTGTAGGGACTTTGATAAGAAAATTTAAACTTTTTGTAAAAATAAACCAATGGCATAGTTGAAAAGATGTAATTTTTTAAAGAATTATAACACCAAAATCATATTTTTAGCTGTTGTAGTTTTAAAGTTATGAATTTTTAAAGTACGACTTGGTTTGTCATTTTTTAACATGGACTGCATCTCCACATTCTGTGATCTCATTCCGCCAATCCCGTCATGCGCAATGACTATATAGTTTATATAAGGCAACGCATTCCCTGCCTTATCACTAAAATACTGTTTAGACTTAGTTTAAACTTTCAACTTTGGCACATGAATAATTAATTAAAGCTTTCCCTGACCAATGGTTTAATAGTTTTTGCACACGGCAAACTCTTATGAATGAAACTCTGAGGTAGTACTACGATACAGTTATGCAAGTGGCTGTGAATGGTTGCCAATGACAACGTGTTGCACACGGTAAATTCTGATCATTTATAATATGGATTCTACCGGGTTGTTAAAGCTCAAATTAAAACATTCCAGTTTAAATGTCTTTAAATGCATTCTGAAACACAAGTTATCAATTATTTTGATGTAAATAGTGATAATAAATTAATATTTCCTAAGTATCGTCAACTTCCGCCATTAAAAAGGGGGGCGTGGCCAACCCCATGGCGAAATTAGGTTGAGCGAGCTGCATAACCTGCTGCGAACGCGTAGAAACATGGCGTCTCTCGTAAGACACTTATCCAAATGGAACGGAACTCAAATATATATCGAAAGTACTAATTTAATAATAAATAGACACACACATCGGAAAATTAAAAACTCGGATTTTTTGGCGCCGATTGCGAATTCCCATACACAAAAAGTAGTAGTCCACCTTGACTTACCGAAGTATCTACCAATAGTACCAAAATCCGGAATCCGGGAGAAACCGGAATCCGGATCCGGCGGATTTCGCATAAGAAAATCCGGATCCGGATCCGGTTGGAAAAAACGGATCCGGCACACCCCTACTCTTTTCCCAACCCACCCAATAAAAAGTGCATACCAGGTCAGATATATGCATACATTCATACATATCCACCTGTTTCCGTACTTTTAGAATCTAAATTTCAAAACGCTCTACTCTGTTTTGGTGATGGCTTACTTCCTGTATATTGGTATTAATTGGAAATTCAAAACCAGCTGATATGCAAGCGTCAATATTACAGTAATTAAATTCTTTACGCTCGGCTTGAGTTGGAATCTCAGAAATAATTAGTAATGCAAATTTTATATCTTTTCCTCACAAAAACAAAGCCTGGCGCTTTTTAAAACTTATTAAATTGCACTGCTTTTAAATTTTTTTTAAAGGTTTCCAAAATTTAAATGAGTGAGGAGAGTTATAATAAGTCAATACTGTCTACATTTTCCTGTTATTTTTATAAAATTTATTCAAAATTAAGCAGGTGTGACACTTAACTCATAACCTTTTAGCTAATTAAAAATACAATTAATCAGCTCTAGTTTTACATTTTATTTGATTATTTTTCACTTTTTCAAAAATTTACCTCCAGTTTTTGTTGTTTTTTGTGTGGTATTTTCGCTTCAAAATATTTGCACCCCTGGTTAAGAACCCCTGATTTAGAATGTGCAGAACTTGTCACATATGCAAAACTCTTAGGGCATATTGTGCCATACAGTTAACAATTTACCAATTTATGTGTATGTGTCTTGGCACTGATATAAAAAGCTCACAAAATTATCTTTGATATTTCCAGGTGGCCCAGTTATAATGCAAGTTCCAGGGAATATGACTGTTTTGGAAGGCCAGAGGGTTCTCCTTCCTTGTGCTACAGAGGGGTTTCCGAACCCAATATTCTACACATGGTATAAAGATAACATAGACATAAGAACAACAGAAAGTTTTACAGCTCAACGTATAGTGTAAGTGTAATGAAACTAATGTTCTAGCATGGCATATAAAATAATAAATACTTTAGATGGTTAACATTATTATTTTAACCACCATGGCGTTTTAAAACTTGTTAAAATACTTCTGAAAATATTTCACAGCAATGAATTTCAGCATTTTATATATAGGTAATATCTTTTTGAAATTTTATTAATTTTAAGGAAATTGAGTTTAAGTTAAATATTCATTATGATCAAAATTATTTTTAAAAAATTTCAGTATTCAAGATGATGGTAGTCTGCTCATCAAGCCTGCCGTCAAAGGGGACAGAGGGTGGTACACTTGTAAGCCAAGTAATACTCTTGGTCATGATGAGGCCTCAGCTTACCTCAATGTTGTCTGTGAGTACCAGTTAGCCATTTACTGGCTCCTTTCAGGTTGATTTAACATGGAATTATAAGCGGGGCCAGCCGAAGGTTTTGAGACTGTGTTTGCTCCAGCTGTACCACCACTCAAACTATTCAATTCTGAAATCCAGGATGACTGTTACCAAGCCTCCCGGAATAGTGTGCCGAGTTGCATGGCTCTTTCTCCACATGGTGTTATCCATGTTTTTGTGAAATCCTCATGAAATTTTTCCTTAAACATGTTGAAGCTGCAACCAAGACTCTAGAAATGCACCAATAGGGCTTTTCCAGAACATTCATTAGGTCAAACATCAATTTTTCTAAATGGCATGCACACTCCCAAGCCAGCTCATAATGGGTTGGAGATGACAAAAATTCTTAGTGAAAAATAACCAGCAGTGCGCCAGAAAGGGTCGTGACAAGGACTGTTTTCAAATCATCCAGAATCTCTGCCATATGATTGGAATCACTTATGGAGTCTTCCAAATGATCCTTGTAGAAAACCTGAAGGCGGATCATGTTGCTGCAAAGTTTAAAAAAATAATTTTTTTTATGCTCTCGCTAAGGGGATGAGAAGCAGCAGTGGCTTTTTGTGTACATTGAGTCTTGTAGGAGAACGAATACTTGTTGCTTACCATAAGGATCATAAGGGATCTACATCGAAGTAACTGGTGTGATCTAGACACAAAACAGTAGTCCCAAACTGAAACATGTAATCACTGGGGGGGGGGGGGGGATATTTGAGGCATGGAAGAGGTGATGAGATTGCTTTATATGTTTACAAAGGGGACCATTTGCAATGTCATGGCAGTCGACTAGACTGAAGACAAGCCTTTTCATTTTTTTTAGCCTTAATATTGAAACTTTCTGTTACCACCTTCCATGTTTAAACCCCTCCCCCCACCCCCCTTTTTTTCCAGTAAGGCTAACAGTTTTGTGTGTGTTTTTAAATAGGTTGGATTAAACATCAACATCTGATAAGAGGTTATGTACCTAAAACCTACTTCGGTCATAAAGCTTGACATGCTCAAATTTAATGATGATTAACAAAATAGAATCAAAATGAATAACTCTACTAAAATATTGTACAAATATTTCCTTGGCACCACAACCAGTGATATTTAAGATTTGTTTCCCTTACTTATTATTAGCCCTTTCATTTTTATGACATTTAAAAAAAAAAGATAACTGACACTGATAGTTGATATATCTCTTTAATATATGATTAATTTTTTAGGTAAATTCAATTATTTCAATATTGTGTAATAATATAAAACCGAATTGGAACTTCTTTCATGTTTTCTATTTGTTTCTAGAATATAAAAATAGTTAAAATACAGTATGTGTATTATCTATACTAACATATATTGTGTACATTATTGTGTACATCTTCCAATTAAGCCAGGCATACCAACTTGTAAGCATTCTTCTTCTCTTAGATAAACCAGAAGTTCTAAAAATGCCATCACAGATCACATGGGCCAAAACATATCTTCAGCAAATAGACTGCCCAGTTGACTCAAACCCACCTCTCAGTGGCGTCACCTGGATAAAGGACATGACAATGCTGACAACAGATTCAGGTCGCTACGACCTTTTGAAAAATGGCACCCTTCTGGTAAGTTATTTCAACTTGAACTTCTAGCTGTTTGAACTTCAGCTAATTTTTGTGTGTGTCGTTGAAATTAATCACATTAACTAAATTTAATCTAAATGGGTTTTTTTTTTTACAATTGAAAATACAAATAATACTAAATGAGTAAAATGCTAAAAGATTTATTTTAAAAAATATATAAGCATTTTATCTAATTTTTTTTAAAGCACTCTCAAGGGAATTCAAATTTATTTTAAAATTTTAATTCGAATGGGTTTCTTTTTAAATATATACATATATATATATATATATATATATATATATATATATATATATATATTTANATGTAATTAATATTTATGATCTCTGAATGTAATTAATATTTATGATCTCTGAATGTAATTAATATTTATGATCTCTGAATGTAATTAATATTTATGATCTCTGAATGTAATTAATATTTATGATCTCTGAATGTAATTAATATTTATGATCTCTGAATGTAATTAATATTTATGATCTCTGAATGTAATTAATATTTATGATCTCTGAATGTAATTAATATTTATGATCTCTGAATGTAATTAATATTTATGATCTCTGAATATAATTAATATTTATGATCTCTGAATGTAATTAATATTTATGATCTCTGAATATAATTAATATTTATGATCTCTGAATATTAACAGTTTTAAAACTTATTGGTATTCAGACCTGTTTACCCTCCAACTCTTAAATTAGTACAATATCATCACAAAATCCTTCAATACATTATCTTAATAGTAAAAAATAGTCATACAGAATATATTATTTATACACCTCAAAACCGTACATTGTATGCCAAAATCGTAAGAGTAAACAGGTCTGGGTATTTAATAACTTGTGGTGAATTCAAAGGACAATTTTTTTGTTCAATTCAGTCTTTCTGTCTCTTGCTTCCAGGTAGCTGATGTTGAAGATAGTGATGCCGGCAGTTACAGATGTATACCCACCAACACCTTGGGTCAAGGTCTTAGCTCTCCACGTGTCCAGGTCATCGTCCGAGGTGAGTGGTTTGAAAATGTTTTCACTCAGTTCTTGCAACACTAGTTTCTTCAAAGGGAGCGCATCCATGGCAATAATTCAAGGAAGAATTTATCAGGCCTGGACAATAAATTTTACTGTTCACAGACCAACTACAAACATACTAAAAGTTTCTTTAGAAATAAGGGCTTTAAAAAAAAAATTTTAACATTGTCTTCCTGAATTTCCTAATAGATTAATTATGAACAATTTGAAAACATTTTATTTCTTCAGTAATGAAATGGTTTTATAAAAGTTATCTTTGATAAATTTTAAAAATATTTTCTTTTTGGGTGTTAAATCAGGACTTAATTACATCAAAGGATCACAAAACTTTTTTTTTAATGCTATCTATCTTTTATAAAGGAAAACCTTCATCATCTCAGCAGCATGGTTAGATTCAATCAGTAGATCTGCATGTCTGCATTTTCATCTCTCTTTAGTATCTTTTTTTTTTTTTTTTTTCCTGTTTACATTCTTATTTTGTAAAGAAATTTCGTTAAAATCTGAACAAGTGATAAGGTAACACCATGAAGTCCCAACAAAACCTCGGTGAGCATCCTATTTTTTTTGTTTTTATAAATCATTTTTTTTTTTTTTTTTTTTTTTTTTTTTTTTTTTTTTTTTTTTTTGCCTGTTTACATTCTTATGTAGTAAAGAAATTTCGTTAAAATCTGAACAAGTGATAAGGTAGCACCATGAAGTCCCAATGAAACCTCGGTGATCATCATATTTTTTTTGTGTTGATAAATCATGCACTCAATGTTGTCCCTTTTCTCCATCATGAATCGTGCCAGTAGCTTTGTCTAAACCTCTCTGAGTCATGATGTGTGCATTTTTTAAATATATATATATATTAAATATTTCCCTTTCTTAAAATGAGGTTGTTTTTTTTTTAACTGAATGGATCACTTCTCTATTGTACAAAGTCTTTTTTTCCCCGCCTTGGGAAAGAAGCATCTGTGAAGCACAGCATCCATGTTTGCACACCGTCTTTTTAGAATTCTGAGTGCTTTAATGTGTTTTCAAGTTCCCATCGGACTCAAGCTTTGCTCTATGTTGATAGACTATATATTTTTTTTGTGTGGTAATAATGTCTCTTTTCACCAGAAGTCAAAGAGATTTTATCTGAAGACCTTTAGGCCATAAGCATCAGTTTGAAACCACCCATCTGGTTGTAGTCAATGGGTGGTTTCAAACACGTGGGCTAGTTAAAATAAGCCACTTTCCCCTTTTCACAGGGCTGCGCAAAGAGTTTATTTTTTTTTAGTGTTTGTGTCTTGGTTTTAAGTTTGAGATCTGGTAATAACACACGAGGGTAGTCAAAAGCCAAAATATTTGAGCCATTAAAAAAAAAATGCATTTGCTCACCATTATGTAACCAGCAGGGCTCTGTGGCTATTTGATGTTTCTTTCAATTATATGCCATATGAATTTTCTTCTATTACCTGCTTGCTTTACCTGGGCTCAGACAAACCAGGTGAGAATATATTTGTTCTTAAATTGTCATACAGCTTAATTTTTTTTACCTGTCTTTTTTTTATTTTTTTATTTTTATTTTTTAATATATTTCTTTACCTTTATATGAATTACATTTTGATCAGCATATTTTACCTCTTAGGTGGGGGCTTTAATAGAAATATCAGTTTTGTTGTAGTTACACTCAGGTGTCATAGACTTTGTTAAATATTCATAATACGTGTTAAATATTCATAATACGTGTTATAGAGTTTTGGTGTCCCTTCTTCCTTGTAAAAATCAGTTTTAGTGTTATGGTATGAATGATGATATTTATACTGATGACAAACTTAGAGTGCGCTGACTCTGGGATGCTAGATTGTTCTGGTCACGTGTGCCCAGCTGAAAATGTATGTTGGTGAATGAGAAAGAAAGCTCAGCATTTTTTTTTTTTACACCAAAGGACATCATTTTAAATTTTTTTTTGCACCAGTGCCATGTCAAATTCCTTAACACATTCCTCTTCTGTTAAATGGCAGTTTTCAAATACCAGAAATGTGTGTATTTTAAGTATTTTAACTAAAAAAAAAAACCTACTTCATTGAATCTGTGAAATTAGTTGATAATAATGTTTTATCCACTGATGACATGAAGAACGGAGGGTTGTTTAATCTATTTGAATGTGTCTATCAATTCATCGTTGTTAGTTAAATGTTTGAGAGCTTGTTTGATAGAGAAGGGACAGCCGATGGGCTGTGTAGAATGAAATAAATTTTTCACCCCATGCATGAGCTGATGGTTAAGATGATCAGATCAACTTTTCTACCGTCTGTCCAGACCCCCCTCAGATAACAGTGAGTCCCCAGACTCTGTACATCAGGAATGTGGGAGACTCTGTGCAGATGAGATGTGAGGCCACGGGCACACCAGCTGTTTCATTGCAGTGGATTAAGGTTTGTGGATGCAAACTTTTGTACCCTACAAAAAAAATTTCAGTTTTTTAAAAAGTTTTTGGAAGTCAGAAATATTGGGAAAATGGTAAATTCGAGAAGCAAATAATTTATGTTTTCCAAAATTTATAAATAACTATCATATCATATCATGAGATCGCATACCTGTCACTGATAGTACAGAATTATAGCTCACAAATAACACTATTTTATCATTGGTGGCTGTCGAATCACCTCACAGGTTGGTAGCAGGCTGGAGGGTGACGAAAGGGTCACCTTAAACGATAAGTTTTTGGAAATAAAAAATCTCACCAAAGACGACCACGGGAAATATGAATGTAAAGCCATCAACCAGATTGCCACCGTCGTCAGTGTGACAGAGCTGCGCATAGACAGTAAGTGCTGTGTGCATAGACAGTAAGTGCTGTGTGCATAGACAGTAAGTGCTGTGTGCATAGACAGTAAGTGCTGTGTGCATAGACAGTAAGTGCTGTGTGCATAGACAGTAAGTGCTGTGTGCATAGACAGTAAGTGCTGTGTGCATTGACTTTTTGGGATACACACTCTTTTTTTTTTTTTTTCAGTGTGTCAGTGTTGTGTGTTGACTGGTGGTGTGTCAGTGCTGTGTGTTGGCTGGTGGCATGACAGCTCTGTGTGTTGGTTGGGGGCATGTCAGTGCTGTGTGTTGGCTGGTGGCGTGTCAGTGCTGTGTATTGGCTGGTGGCATGTCAGTGCTGTGTGTTGGCTGGTGGCATTTCTGTGCTGCATGTTGGTTGTTGTTTTGTCAGCGCTATTTGTTGGTTGTTGTTTTGTCAGTGCTGTGTGTTGGTTGTTGTTAGGTCAGTGCTATTTGTTGGTTGTCAGTGTGTCAGTGCTGTGTGTTGGCTGGTGGCATGTTAGCGCTGTGTGTTGGTTGTTGTTTTGTCAGTGCTGTGTGTTGGCTGGTGGCATGTCAGTGATGTGTGCTGGTTGTTATGTCAGTGCTATTTGTTTGTTGTCAGTGTGTCAGGGCTGTGTGTTGGCTGTTGGCATGTTAGCGCTGTGTGTTGGTTTTTGTTTTGTCAGTGCTGTGTGTTGGCTGGTGGCATGTCAGTGATGTGTGCTGGTTGTTGTTAGGTCAGCGCTATTTGTTGGTTGCCAGTGTTTTGTCAGTGTTGGCTGTTTATCAGTGCTGTGTGCTTGTTGTTGTTTTGTCAAAGCTATTTGTTTGTTGTCATTGTGTCATTCTTTGTGTTGGCTGTTGGATAGAAATGTATTTGTTGCCAATGTATTCCAAGTCAACAGACTGATGTAATGTCATCCTGTTTGTTCACAGATACAACCCCACATGCACCTTACAATGTAACAGTGACAGCTGGAGTTTTCAATGTCACTGTGTCCTGGGAGCCAGCCTATGATGGGGGCACTCCACAGTATTATTTTTTATGGTAGGAAGATTTGCACTGTCCCAATTTTAGATAGGCAGTGGGCCACAGGTTAAATGGTTCCCTTTGAAAGAATTATTATTAGTTATATTTAGGTATATTTTCATTGTAACAATGTTAGATACACAGTGGGCCACAGGTTGAATGGTCCCTTTGAAAGAATTATTGGTTATTATTAGGTATATTTTCATTGTAACAATATTAGATACACAGTGGGCCACAGGTTAATTTCACTTTGACAGTAACATGTTGGTCACAAGGCTTCCTGAGTAATGTTTTTGCTTCACTTGACCAAAACTAAATGCAATCTGCTGATAATTTTATCTGCTATTTAAGGATTATACTTAGAATATCTACGTTAATACTTAAGTGTGATTAGCAAGAAAATCTACTTCTTAAAAAATATTGTATCTGAAGTATTCAGTGTACTGTAAATTTATCTATGGTAGAGGATCAGCTGCATAATACGTATAAGTAGCCATGCTTAGATTTATAGATATATATAGACCTATATCTGGACACATATATAGACCACTATCTACACACATGTAAACTGTTATCATTAGGTACATATATAAACCTATATCTAGACCTATATAAATCGTAAAAGATAGGTACATGTGTAGACCTATAAAGATACATGTACTAATATGGGATCAATGACAATCTTAATGTTTGTTTATCACACTTGTTAATATGTTGTCAATTTCACTAGCGTAATTTTCTTTTAAATTTTGCAACCTCTTTAATAACAAATATAAAAGATCAACTTTTTCAGTTGAGTTTGAAAATTCTACTTGCAGTGGAAAATTTATAATCTGGGCTCCATTAGTTACATTCTGTTGACAAAAAGATTTTTCCCTATTCACCATTCTCACCTCCTGTCAGCTATGGCCCTGAACTTTTAAACATTTCTTTTTAAATCTGAAAAAAAACACAAAAAAACTTTGTTTATTTAGTCACTCAGATCCACATGTTTATTTAGTCACTCAGATCCACTTGTTTATTCAGTCACTCAGATCCACCTGTTTATTCAGTCACTCAGATCCACATGTTTATTCAGTCACTCAGATCCATCTGTTTATTCAGTCACTCAGATCCACATGTTTATTCAGTCACTCAGATCCACATGTTTATTCAGTCACTCAGATCCACAATTTACCAAGCTCTAGTCAATAAATAAAATGCTTTTAAACTTGTTACCTGAATTTTTTCACACAGTTTTCAGGGGTGTCTTGCATCATACTTTTCTATAAATACACAAACTCCTATGTCTTCCTTAAAAAAACAACCAAATATCGGCAGACTGCCTAACGTAACATTATGAACTAGCCACAGAGGGATGGCTGTGTTAAAATCAGTAGGATTGTGAACCATATGTCTTGTTTCTGACATATTTTGTAACTCTCATAACAACCTGGGAAAGAAGAAGAATGCAAAATAGCTTTTTTCCAAGCTTCGAAATTCATTTTCACCTTTAGGCAAGAAATGGTATACATTCTGGAATGGCCAGATCAATCCTAGTCAGTCAGCTTATAAAAATTCTGATTTAACCATAGTAGATGCACCAGCATATGGCTCTGTCATTGTATAGTTTAGTCTTTCCCCAACCTTTTCCATTGACTGCACCACCTAGGAGTTGTTTTGACAAGCCTCACACCCTAATCAAAGCAAGAGAGGTTTTTGAAATTCGGAGAATAAAATGGACTACAAACCTTTTTTTTTTTTTGTAAATTGAATTTCAAAGAGAACTGTAAACCTAAGAAAATAAACTTGTGATTTATCACATAAAGTAGAATATAAATTTGGAAATTAAGAAGTGTATGGACATTTATAACACTTTATATCACAACTTTAAAGTCAATGGCTCCTCTGTTATTTTAATACTTTTCCTTGCAGCAAATGATCATGGCATTTCGCTCTTCACTTTGGGAAAACTCTTATACAGTTTAGTGTAAAAGGAAGGCAGAAATAGGTCAAACCATTTAATAGAAAACAAAAAAATCTGATGTTTAATTGTGCAGCCAGGAACACTTAAATTTAGTAATGAAATCAGCACACAAACACATTTGTTTTATAATTCTTTTTGCATGTAAATTTTTTATCATGCCATTTAACTGTCTGTTCACACTGTTCAAAAGCTATTCCTTGATGACTTTCAGGTTCCGTCCAGTTATAGATTCTCAATGGATCACCATGGAAGTGCCTGGGAAGTCTGCAACGTTCTTTAACCTTTATAGCCTTCAGCCCGACACAGAATATGAGTTTAAAATTTTATCCCGAAATGCTTTAGGAGATGGATCCTACAGCTCTGTTGTGAGGCAGCGCACACTGGGTAAATTTTTTCTACGAGCCGCTGCCCTTTTTTAGTTGGCGGCCCCACAGCCTTTTAATTCAGAGAGTTCATTTTACAATTGTTTTTTTTTTTCTTCTTTTTCTTACTAACCCATTGTAACCAGGATTGCAGCAAGATCCAATACTAAAGAGTTCTAACCTCTTACTGTCATGTTGGTGTCTAAATTCAGTAAGAATTCAGTGCTTACAAATGTTGTCAAAAGGATGTGACAGCATTGACTTAGGCCTGTTTGGTGCAAATATTAAACATATTTCTATAACAAGATTGACTTTCAAACATAAAAAAGTAAATAACCAGCTCAATTTTTGCCGGGGCTGGGTGAAACAAATTTTTTAAAAGATGTAATTCAATGGTTTCCTCAATCATTGGCCTTAGACAACAGTAAACGTTTTAGTTTTAAGATCAGGATCTCCCCCTTATTTTTTGTGTAGTTCAATATCTTATGGCTGAGGGTTACTGTGAAAAGTCAGCTGATTCCCTCAGCTGTAACGTGACTCAAAACAATTTGAACCCACGAACTGTCAAATAAGGTCTGTGCTGTGTTGTCACTATTTTTGATTGGTGTAACTTTGATGTGTATCACTTAAATGCCTAAAAGTAATAGGCTTTGTCATTTCTCAGACCGGAAAACGTCACAGCTTATCTAGAGTTACTGTTACATATGCGGTTCACTCAATGGAGTCTCATTTCACAAAATAGACGTAAAAAATAAATGTGTAAAATATTTCGTAAAATATAGTTTTAAACAAGTTTCAGGGACACTTCGCTAAAATAGTAATACTGAACAGTGTTGGCATTTTGTCCGGCACGAGTACCCGGATGATTACAGCAGTTATAATAATAGATTTCCGCCATTAAATGACAAGCGCTATAGAAAATGAATCCATGGACCTTTGTAAAGTGTAGATATTCTGAGAGTATAATTTGAAAAAGGAATCACATGGTGTGAATTTAAGACTTTTTTGATCTTATGTGACAGATTAGATTAGAGAAAGTTATTTGGGTTTATAGAAATTTTTTTTTTTTAATTAAAAAAATATTCATTGATACCTTACATATTTCTGCAGCTAATTTTTAATGCCTATTAAATTCATTAGAACCCTTTTTTCCATTACTTCCACTATTGTAACCTAAACTGCAAGCGATGCAAGATCCACTATTGTAATTATCACTACCATGAAAAATGACAAATGAAAAATCATTTTCATAAGGAAACAATTCAAATAAATTAGTCTTTTTTATTTTTGCTGGGCCAACATCCGAGTCCTGCAAGTTAGTTTTTACACACAAATAATCAGATAGGAAAATTTCAGCTCGATTCAAAATTTAAAAACAAAGTATGAAAACATTTCGCTTAGTGTTCTACAAGTAGGAAGTAATACTAATTTGTTAGAGTTATCCCCCTTTTGAAAAAAACCTGTAAAACTTATGATTCACAATTGAATTTTTTTGTAGTAGAGTCACATTATGTGGGCCGTAATGTAACAACAGAAGCAGCCATTAAGGATTGGTGATTTGGCTGCTTTGACAGTTCGTGGGTCAAGGTGTCTAAATTTTTTACATGACCACTTCAATGTGATGGGAAAATATAGTAAAAATAGTTTTCCATTATTTGCAAGGGTTCTGACTGAAAAAGAATGGGGCTCAAAATTACCAAATTAGATGTGAGTGGCTTATTGTTTCAAATAGCCCCCTTAAAGAAATTACCAATCCTAGAGATAAAAGTAAACAAATGTATTGGCTTCATCACTTGCATCAGTAACTTTCTTGAATCTGCAAAAGAACCTGGCAGCGCTCAATGTTGTTAACACAAACATCTTCATCCTTAGAGTGCATAGCTTCATTGCTCTGTTGTCCTAATTTAGACTGATGTTAGTACTTTTAAAGCCTGCTATTTTAACATTTCTTCTTTTTTTTAATTTTTTAAAATAGATTTGTGTCCATCTTTGTGCACAAGTAGGGAGTTAACGGGGAAGGGGTGTTAAGTATTGTGTCTTGCTCAGGGGCAAGCTTGATCGCTTTGGGTAAATCTGTATCAGTTTTCAAAAATAACAAAAGGGGAAGACAATAAACATTTTTTTTTAATTTATCAAACAATCTGGGAAATTAATATTATTTCCAAACATTTTTTTGTAATTAAAAAAAAATCACTAGAATTATTATTATTTTTAAAAATTTAAAACAGTTTAAAAAATTTTCTATATGCCCACTGCATGACCAAAACAAATATGGGAGTTTTTCCCCCCTTATTTTTTTGTAGTTCTTTCTAGATTACAAATTTTACAGCACAATTACTGTCACAATATTCAACTATTTAGCCTTTTTGAAGTTAAGCTTTGTTTTCCTTTCAACTTTCTAATCACTGATGTAAAATTGTTTAATAACCATTGTTTAACTAACCCCAACATATGTATTATAACAATTTTTTTAACCAAAAATTATAAAAAAACATTTTCTCCATCTTAACACTATTCAGCACCATGATATTTTTAAGCTGGAAGAGAAAAATCTTGATACCGTTTTATTGTTCTTTCAATCTGAATGGTGTAGGATGTATTTCTTCTTACAAATTGCTGTCTTCTTTATTCACATGTGTTGTATGTTCTCACAAAACTTTTTTTCCATATCTTCACCACTATTTGATTGTATTACAACTGCAGCTCAGTACTCAGAACCAAGCAGCGCAAGCAAGCGTGAAACCACTCCTCCGCTTATGGGTACAATTTGCATTTAGACCACCTGCCCACAACCAAACCTTTTTTTTTTTTTTTTTTTTTTTTTTTTTTTTTTTTTTTTTTTTAAAAAACCCCCAGAAAGGTTTCATTTCCTTTTTTTTTTTTTTTTTTTTTTGTTTCTTTTTTTTTCTTTTTTTTTTTTTTTTTATTTTTTTTTTTTTTTTTTTTTTATATAAAAAACCCCCAGAAAGGTTTCATTTCCCTTTTCTTTTTCTCTTTCATTTGCTACTATGTTTAACAGTATTATTTTGTTTATAATTTTGTTCAACTACTAGGCATATTCAAATATTTTATTTAAAATTGTGCCTTTGACTGCCCAATAAATATTGACATTTTTAGAAAAAATTAGTTATCTTTAAAATGTAAGGTTTATCTTATTTTAAAATGTGTTTAATTCGCAAAGTAAAAACCAAAACTGAACCAACAAATCATTTCCTTGTGCATGAGTTAAAAATAAATAATGTTTAATCATTACTTTTTGTAAAGTAAATTTTTCGATTAAAGAATTTTTTAAAGTTAAAAAAAAAAAAAATTAAAGTAAATTTATTCACCTAATGAGCTCTATTTATGGCAGTTAATTGAATGAGCTTTTTGATTGTGTTTTTAACTATTTTCAATTCTTCAGAATCTAAATTTATGTTATTCTCCTCATTTGTATGAGCTTTGTACCTTCTGTTCAATCAGCTTGCGATTTTTTTCTCTGTGTTGTCCACTTGGTTTGGGATGGCCTATTTGGTTTTTGTTCCTCTTTGTCCCCCCTCCCCACTTTTTTCCCATTACTGCATGTGAGTTTAATGTTTCAAAGATCTGTGTCCTGTTATTTGTTCTCTCATTTTCCAACACTTGATATTTTTGATGTTCTTTTGTCTTTCATTCAACAAACCATTTTCTTTGCATGTCCCAATTTATTTGTATCACTTTGTTTTTTTAAAAAAAAAAAGCTTTGTTTTGACATCAGAATGGAAAGGCTTGAAGAAATCCACTGAGATGAAATCCATTTAGAATTAATCCAGTCCATTCATGAGAAATCCTTTAATAATAGATCTTTTTAGAGGAAATCCATTTAGATTAAATCCATTTAAATTAAATCCATTTTAGGAGAAGTTGATTTAGAAGAAATCCATTTAAGAGAAATTCATTCAGGAGAAGTCTTTAAAAAAATTGAAGTTAACTCACAAGCACTGTTTACAATTGGAAAATTATGGTAGGAAAATATGTTTATAAATTGGCGTTGAACATTTTTTTAAACCAAATCCTAGATAAGTTTGTGGTCCCTTGACCTGGACTCAAATAGTTTTAAAGCAATACTGTACCCATGCATAAATGTTTTAACACTAAGTCTTGTCACAATGATTATTTTTTAAAAAAAAGTAAGTTAAATTTTTGTATTGTAGAAAGAAGTTGAAGCTTCATAAATGCTAATGCTCAAGTTGTTTTTATGTAAGAATTTCACATGTGCACTGTTTGTTTGAAAACTACATTAACTCTATGCTTGTCTTTGCATGATTTTTTAATAATTTTTTTTTAAAAAATCTGTTGTGACCATCATGATTAACTCCATATAAACGACTCCCTTAAATATTCTCATTCAGTTTGAACTTGTTGTTGTAAGAGAGTCACTGCACATTTTTGATCAATGGAATAACACCCTGATTTTTAATTATATGCAAACTGTAAAAAATACCATTAGTTATTTATTAATTAAGTTAGAGTTAGATATGAATAAATGCCTTACTTTGGTATTGGTATGCTCACTTAAGAAAATATTCTTTAACAAAATATGGCTTATGCAGCATTGATGGATTGGTTTTTCTACTCAACTAATTTTCCCAGCCATTCAAGGCTGCTTTAAATGAGTGCTACCAAACATTTTATCTCCCCTTGCAAGGCATTAATTCAGCTTCTGATTTTTTTGTATTTTTAAAAAACAAACACACTATGAGATATAGACACAATATGAGACATAGACACACCATGAGATATAGACACACCATGAGATATAGACACAATATGAGACATAGACACACCATGAGATATAGACACACCATGAGATAGACACACCATGAGACATAGACACACCATAAGATATAGACACACCATGAGATAGACACCATGAGATATAGACACACTATGAGATATAGACACAATATGAGATATAGACACACCATGAGATATAGACACACCATGAGATATAGACACACCATGAGATATAGACACAATATGAGATATAGACACACCATGAGATATAGACACACCATGAGATATAGACACACCATGAGATATAGACACACCATGAGATATAGACACACCATGAGACATAGACACACCATGAGACACAGACACACCATGAGACATAGACACACCATGAGACATAGACACACCATGAGATAGACACACCATGAGATAGACACACCATGAGATAGACACACCATCAGACATAGACACACCATCAGACATAGACACTCCATGAGATATAGACATTGTATTAAACATTCATTTGCTCAAGGTATTAAAAGGAACAACCAGCAAGTTCAAGATAAGTTTGCTCTTCTCACATCAAAAATTTTTTTTCTCTATGTCACAATGTCACTAACCACACCAGATGGCTCTGATTTCACTCAATAAAGTTACCAATAACTGCGCTAAATGAGATTCTTAGAAATGCAGCATGTGTGTTTGGTGCCTAATATTTTATTTGTTTTAAGGGGCGATAGTGGGTGCAATACATCTGCAGTGTTGGTGGTGGGGGGGGGACATTAGAACATGAATATAGTTCAGGGGTGGTGGCCTATCTGGGGAGGGGGGGACGGTGGTGGGGGGGGGGACATTAGAACATGAATATAGTTCAGGGGTGGTGGCCTATCTGGGGAGGGGGGGGGGTTCAATAACTGGGAATTTTATAAAGTGCATTAATTAAATACACGCTTTGTCAAGTAACGTTAGTTGATGGGAAGTTCATGCATTGCGGCCGCCATTGTTTGGCAGGCTACATCTGATACTGATATCAATGTTTTATGTTAATGTATAATTAGAATTATGATGCATCTTAATAATCTTCCTTCAAATCTTTATCTTAAATCTCAGCATAAGCTTTATATGATAATGAATGCACTAGGCTAACATTAAGTAACTGCACTGACATTAATGTTCTTTCTTGTGTGTGAAAATCCCATGCCGTCACAGGTGTCAGCTAAGTTTTTAAAGGATGGACACGTAACAACTGTTTTTTTCTTGCAACGGTCATTCAAATATTTCACACCTGCTGTAGCAAAGATGGTGCTCAAGTTCATTTTGTTAAAGCTAAAGGTTTACGCTGATGATATCAATGCTCTAGTGATTGTACGGATCAGCAAGAAAAAAAAAATCACTTGGTATTTTTCTCCCTTTGTATCATAAACTGTGTAACTCATTTGTGGCATTGACTCTCGATGTGAGTAACTGACTCGATGTAATCATAAAACCCTTAAAATATACTTCCTGCCTAACAGTTCCGAAGAAAATAAAAGAGTTACACAGTTGAACCTTTGCGCCCCCCCTTAACCCCCCATTTTTTACTCTGTTTTTATGTATTATATAGGCAGGTCTCATTGTTTCTATTGACAGGTTTCAACCCTAATGATGTAATGAGGCTCCCAGTCAATGGCAGTGGGCTCACATACTTTCCAGAAATCACCAAAAATATTGGTAAATCTCTTTATTTTAGAATTTTTTATTTAAACATTTCCTTTGATAGGGGCCATCCACATATTACTTATGAACTTATGCACACACACACACACACAAAAGTAAACATTCTTCATGCAGTACATTTCTGGACACCGCCCCCTTGTTATGTACAAAGTAGAATTGAAAAAGCCTATAAACCACTGAAACCAAGTAATACCTTCACAAATATCATCACATGCCTGGAAACTACAAACCAAAGGCCAACTGTAGACTTGAATTTATCATCATGCTAAAATTACTATTACTATTGTGATATACAGTGAGTTGATCAAAGAAAAAATATGAGGATACTTACTAAAAATAATAGCCATGATGTTTCAATAGCATTTGAAAATAATTCAAAATCTTGGATTTCACAGATTTTTAGATGACATATGTGTTAAAGATATAAATAGATTATTTATTGATTTTCAGAATTTCTGGGTATTTATTCGAAATTGAGACATACCAGTAACAAAAATCTCCTAAATCAACAAACACCCTCTCCTCTCCCCCCTTTGCATGCGTAAATATATTGATGGCATCTTTTGGCATTGCATAGTTGGCCTGTTTTCAACATCTTTCCAAAATGTCCCCGGCCTTTATTTAACCCAGAGAAATGAGCGCAGCCTTGTAGTTTGATACATTTCAGTCTTTCAAAATTGACTATTGATGGATTGTGGAATTTTAAAAAGATTAAAGAAAACAACACAATCTTAATCTGATACACATCACTTGTATTTACGTGCAAATTGTCTATTCCTTCAAGCAGCTACTGTAATTTTTTTGCACTTGTCACAAAATGCATGTGTGACCATATCCTGGTGAAATCCCAAAATGTCTCTTAGAATTCCTACTAGAAAGCTGAGATTTGGCACCCAGGTTGGCGTCCTCGACCCTATATTTCATCAGTTAGAGATTCCCTGAATTTAAAAAAAAAAAGAGTTCATCTGACAAAAAATGTTTTGATGAAAGTTGTCCTGAAAAAATAGTTTTTGTGTGTGTGTGCCAGTGCTAGTGTTGTTTTGTGTTAGTGTTGCTTTCCAATTGTTTGACAAAGGGGTAATAAAGGAGAGGGGCTGCGTGTTCAAGCCGTGTGAAGTAAATAAATAATGGAACAAGACATGTTTAGCCTTGAAAAAAAAAAAAGACAGAACTAAGGATTTATTTTGAGTGTGTATCTATCATCCATGCAGTAGGGTCAGCTTGGATTCTAAAAAGTATATTTACTGTTAGGATTACTTTGTTATTGAGCAAAATTATTATTATTGATGCTATGGACATGGAACTTGTTGATTAAAAAAAAAAATACACGTTTATATCAATATCTTGATTACTGGCATGAAATTTTATGTGCAGCAATTAGTGTGAACTGCATTTTGAGCATTTGATACAAGCACTAAGGACTGCTGTTGCAGTGGACATTCTGGTGACCAGTATGAAACTGTAAGATTTTGAAAATGCTGCTGTTGATGTGACAGGAAATGTGACAACCATCCAAACCCTTCCCAAGCTGTCTGATCAACAGGCTCACCACAGAGACTATATTTGACAGTAATAAGTCTCTGTGGTCATAGTAATGTGTGCTGTGCATAACTCAAATGGGCTGGAGCATTTCGACACCCCAAAAAAAAAACCTCCAAATAAAATCACCCCAATAAATATTGGTTAATGTCAAATCGCTGTAAAGCATCAGAAACAAGTTGCTCTGTGGCATGAAGAAAATCATCAGATACAAGTTGCCTCTGTGGCATGAATAAAATCATCAGATACAAGTTGCCTCTGTGGCATGAAGAAAATCATCAGATACAAGTTGCCTCTGTGGCATGAAGAAAACAAACTGAATCTACATGAATTGATTTGATCTAGAAATTTATGTGGGAGGTTATGCAGAGAATAAACTTGTTATCAACTATCACTTTCATCCATACAGGACCACTGCCTGCATCTCCCAGCAACCTCACGGCCCAGGTCAGAAACAGGGATATTTTATTGGACTGGAAAGTGCCTCTGGTGTCACCTGTACCTATATTCTCGTAAGTTCATTGGACAGGGTCCTTTTTAGGCCTCATTACAATTTATTTTAAAAAAATATATATGCATATATTTTTTTTTAAAGATAATCTATTAATTTTTTTTTTTTAAAAAGCTAAATGACAATAGGTAGTGTTCAACTGCAATAATTTCCATTGCAATAAGTGTTATAAAATGAGTAAATTATTAATTAAATAATTACTTGACAAAAATAGATATATATATATAAATACAGTGGGAGCTATTCAATTTTATCAAATGCAAAACTTTTTAGTTCATTTCACATTTTTGAAAAAGGAGAAGAAAAAAAAAAGTCCTAATTTTCTTGAAGATTAAAAGAAAAGGGTAATAAGGTGAAATGATTTCATGAAGATAGGTGAAATGATTTCATGAAGATAGGTGAAATGATTTCATGAAGATAGGTGAAATGATTTCATGAAGATAGGTGAAATGATTTCATGAAGATAGGTGAAATGATTTCATGAAGATAGGTGAAATGATTTCATGAAGATAGGTGAAATGATTTCATGAAGATAGGTGAAATGATTTCATGAAGATAGGTGAAATGATTTCATGAAGATAGGTGAAATGATTTCATGAAGATAGGTGAAATGATTTCATGAAGATAGGTGAAATGATTTCATGAAGATAGGTGAAATGATTTCATGAAGATAGGTGAAATGATTTCATGAAGATAGGTGAAATGATTTCATGAAGATGTTGCATTGGTGAAACAGCATGTTTTCTCATCTGACAGTTACAAGATTGATTACCAGCATGAGAGCATGGACAGGTGGGCCATCTACCCCAACAGGATCATCGATGGCAGCACCAGTCATGCTGAGATGAGGGAGATGCCCAGCGGGGTGTATGACCTGAGGCTCAGGGCGCACGGTGTCATGGCCATCAGTGCCCCATCCAACACCGTCCGGGTCACCGTCTCATCTGGTATGTCTTTGTCCGTCACTGTTCTGCTTCTTGTTCAGCAGGTCACTTTCATGTCATTCTTTTAAGTTTTAACTGCGGCAGTGGGACTGTGAATTTTGGTCTATCAGATTAAAGTTGTCAAAAATTACATAGGCTACAAGATTTAATGTGACAAAAAAATTCCCTCATGCACTTGTTTATTGTGTCATGTTTTTAACATGCTTCATCTCAGCAGTCCTGGTTTGAATGCTTTAACACTTCAAACACAAATGTCACAGATTGGTATCTCCAGCTTTTTTACCCCTTTATTTTCCCATGCCACTGTCACTATCCATATGGCATGACACTAATTGAAATTGGGGAGGGGAATTTATGAATATTTTTTTTCTTCCTGATTACCCCAAGGGTAGAAAATAAAACAGTTCCTTCCAGTCCACAAATCATTTCTTTTACATTTCTGAAGAAGAAGTGAATCTAAAAAGCTGAAACTAACTTTGTCATGAAATTGGTTTATTTTATTTAAATGACATATCATTTTAATTAAGCTAGTTCATAAAGTGGGACATTAATTAAAATAAGAACACAAATATAAATAGTTTTATGAGTTTACAGTTTTATTGTAATCTATACTGTAAAAACCCACCCCAAGATGGGGGTTAAATTTTTTACCTAGTAAAATGCCTTCCAGTTTCCTTCAGCTTTTTGTTCAAGATTTCTTGTGCTTACAAAGTCAGACCTGTTTACTCTTACGATTTTGGCGTACAATGTACGATTTTGAGGTGTATAGATTGTATATACTGTATGGTTTTTTTTACTATGAATATAACATATTAAATGACTTTGTGATGATATTGTACGATTTTAAGAGTTTGAGGGTAAACAGGTCTGCAAAGTTGACTTGGAACTGTGAAAACTGCTTTTTAAAAAAAAATTATTTGTCAGTTTATATAAATGATCTTAACAAAAATAATTGTCTCTTTAAAAACAAAATGTCTCACTCCCCCTTGTTATGTTCATGCTCCAAAAGGGTTTCCTGACATGTGCATTAAGCCGCAACATTAAATCCTTTTTATATTACAAACATTAAACACACTGTGTAAGCATGCATCATCATGGGGCAAATATGGTAAGTGATTTCATCATTAACTCATTAGGTTGATATACATGCCATGAATGATATGAAACATACAACCACCCTTACCTTCTGTATCCACTTTACATTACTGCCTTCAAAGGGAAGCCAAAATCACCAGGAACTCCTGATGCATCCTCATCGTCGGGTATAGTTACCTCCCCTAACTTGAATGGTTTTTTGCTGTATTTTATTTTAATCCACTCAGATCTATACAAAGAACTAAACGGCTTTTTATTTTCTTTTTTTATATATATATATATATACTTGGTTTCATTAATTTTTTGGTACTAAATGTCTTCTGTGCTACCTTTGGTTCCAGTCCAATAATATTCTCTCATCAAGTGACACTAGATGTATTAAAGCTGGTGAAAGTTTGCATATAATGATGTGGACCATAATTACATCTACCCGTCTCATGCTTATGGGTTAAACAAAACCTTTGGTTGGCCACTGCAACAATTTACCTGGTATCATTGAGTGACTTATTAAAAAATACTCAACCACATACCTGTCAACTGTATACCTGTCAACTGTGTGTGTACCTGTCAACCCTTTCCTTTCCTCAGCTATGACATTGGGCCCAAATCTCTACACTGGATTTGCAGAAAAGGGGGGGGGGGGGGGCAAAGTGAATAAAAAATATCATCATTTTCCCTTTCAGTTACACAGCAGTTGTTGAAAAACTCTTTTTGTTTCACGCATACAAACTTTATTCCTTTCCTCAGCTATGACATTGGGCCCAAATCTCTACACTGGATTTGCAGAAAAGGGGGGGGGGGGGAGCAAAGTGAATCAAAAATATCATCATTTTCCCTTTCAGTTACACAGCAGTTGTTGAAAAACTCTTTTTGTTTCACGCATACAAACTTTGTTCAGCACACTTAACGCCAGTTATAACATTTTGGCTAAAGGAGGTCCCAGAATTTTTTCCCAAGCTTAACATTACATGATTCAATGATTGAAGTAAGATTTGAGTGACCAATCGGTCCGCTTGCATGGTTCAAACCACTGGTTCAAACCACGTGTCACATCAACATTGTAGGGACCTCTTATTTCATCTTGAGAGATCCCGAATGAGGAAAATTTTCCGCACTATTTGAATTATTCAGTGCGTTATTTTTTTTAATGCATATGAGGTTGACAGGAGTGCATTTGACAGGTGTGTATTTAACAGATGTCCGCCTGTGTCACTATTAAAAAAATAACCATTCTTCTGCTGAGCTTACTTCTATGATTAATTTGATATTATTATTTTGATATTATCTGTGAATTTATGGACCATTGACAGTACTGGGTTGTTCCATGGGACAAGGTGAACAATGTGCCAAGGCTTACGGGGGCATCTGTCAAATCTTCTGCTTTTCACAGACAGTATTATGCATAGCTATGGGTCCATTTGTTGCCTTTTCCCAGGGCCCCCAAAAGGCCTTAATCGAGCCTTACTCACCAATTGAGTTCCAGGTTTTGGTCCTGACATGAATTTATTTATTTAATTGTTTTAATTACAAATCAGCCTCCTAAAATGATGTTTCCGTTAGTGTAAAACCTACTGCCTCAGGTGTTATTACCAGAATAATTGAGGAAAGTATTTTATTATCTCTTTTGTTTAAACTCAGAACCAGGCGTCATAGGTCAACTAGGCAAATTATGCATTGATCTGTCAGGAAGGAATATTTATCTGAATCGAAAAGGCAAAGGGAGTTGTCCCTACCGTGAAAATCAATTTCAGCTCCTGTTTGCCTTCTTTAATTCAATAAATGTATGACTAAGTAGTCATGTATGTCTGTCAAAGAATTTTGAAAAACTTCATCTATTTTTTATGTCACCTCTTGCATGCTGGTTATAGTCCCAACATGAGTATCCATATTTTGCATTAATGTGCCCATTCCCACCTCAAATGATCTTTAGTCACTTGTTCTAAATCAGGGGTTCTTAACCTTTTTTTTTTCCATGGCCCCTTTTGCTAGTAAGATGAAGGCCACAGGCCCCTTCTTAGAATACAGTTTTTAAATGCATGTAATAAAAATATAAAGGAAATGCAGAACACTTACATCTTTTCAAGGGGCCACTGGACCACTTGTTAAGAACCCCAATACTATTTCTCTAAACTTTTGGATGTCATAGAATGGCTTTGTTATGTATCAATCAATGCCATGTTAAGTTGATATAAGACTAAAACTTATGTAATCCATCATAAAAATACTTTAGTTTCTATAAGCTTTTAAAAAAAAAAATATATATATATAATATATAAATAAAGTTATTCCTTAAATGTCCGACTGACTTAACTTACCCAGAGTTTAGAGACCATGACACTGAAAGGAAGATACCTATACTAATTTTTTCAGGATCATTATAATTAATTGATGTACTAGTTACTAGCAGGGATCAGCTAGTTAATCCTGAATGAAAGGATAACTAACACTGTGGTAAACTGAGGTTTGCATGCTGACATATTTACTTAAGAAAAAAATCATAAATCAACTTCCACCTACTGGAAGCTGCCTAGACACTTCTTACTGTTCATTTAATAGAATAAACATTTTCACAACAGATAAAACTTTTATATGTTAAAAAAAAAGATTATTTTTAATTACTGATTCTTTTTTCTTCTTAAACTGACAGCTGTAAAGGGTTAAATATTACTTTTTAATAAGAATATTTTTTTAAAACAACTTTGCTTTCAGTGTGGCAGATGTAGGAAAATACACTTTACAAGTTCATTTCTTCTGTCTTAGTATTGCATCTGTGTGTTCAAGCTTGCACTATATTTATTTTTTACTTTGCATTTATTTAGACATAGCTGAGTATAATGAACTATTTTAATAAATGGCTTATAAAAAAAAAAAAAAAATTGTGTTCAAAATAAAATCTGTCATATGTTTCATAAAAATTCTAATTTTTCTTTACACCCAATAATACAATATGCTAGTTTTTTAATAGGAAAAACAGTATTCCGTGCATTTGAGAAGCTGTTTTGTTTTGTAAAATGGCCTGAACGAATTTCAACTTCACTCGGTTTTTAAACCAATAAAATATTTGCTGTTTTAGATGACCTCGTCCTACCAGAGGCTCTGATTGGTGGGATCATAGGAGGTGTACTCTTTCTATTGGTTGCTGTCCTTCTTGCACTAGTTGCCATTTTCCACAGCAGGAAAAAGGATAGAAAAGCAAAGGCAAAATACAGTGAGTGAAAAATGTGATACTTTTGCATAATGTTTTTACATTTAGATAATAAAAAGATTGCAGGGCACCACAAGAGGAGGGAGACGAAGAGGAAGACAAAGAAAAAGATAGGAGGATAATATCAAAGAGTGGACAGGACTAACACTGCCCAATGCTGTGCGCAGTGCAGAAGACAGAGACGAATGTAGGAGGATATTTCACATGTCATCTGTGGCGCCCAGCGGTCCAAGGACTAAGGGACATGATGATGATGATGATATATAGATAAACACTAAGATAGAAATAGACACATTAAAAATGTTCATTTTATTCATATTTAAAAGACTATACAAATTTAAAAAAAAAATTTTTAAACATTCTATTTCTAATTCATTTATCAATGATACCAAATAATGTCACTGTGATAGTAACATATGTATATATAATATATATATATATATATATATATATATNATATTTCCCACTTCTCCTTAACAGATGATGTCAATTATGGAAAACCTGATGAAATGAATGGACGACAGTAAGTAACACTGCTTCAATAAAAAAAAAATAGTCAATTTGCCAGTGGTTCATATATTAAACTTCCTGACCCATTAAATATCTTGAGAACCTCAGATTAAAAATTTGCTCTATTCTAAAATTTAAAAATCAATACCAATATATGTTTTTGTGTTTCCTGTTTGAAAGATTTTTTTTTAAAGTCAAATCTGCAAAATTGGCCTAATATTGTGGCATAATCTTTGCTAAAGAAATGCTGCAGCAATTAATTTCTCAAATATTTTGTACATATTACGTCATGGGTAAAATAATTATATTCTCTATACATTCTCTGTGACCGGAGAAAATGGGAACCCTTTTGATAACAATGGAAAACACCAGTAAATAATAAGCAGTTTTAAAAAATCATTCTCATTTTAGTCCTGAAAAATGACCAAAGATAATGAATGGTCCCTGATAAAATTTAAGAATATGTTAGAATTAAAATAAGTTTTGGAATTTTAAAAAAATTGATCATTATTTACCATTTCTTTTTCATCATTATAAAAAGGGTTCCCTTTTCCCCGGACACATGTGTGTATAGATAGATGGTACTTTCAGAGTTGATGGTACTTTCATTAAAATATATTGTTTAACCAATAGGGAAACTATAAGATTTTTACAGGTAGCCCTAGCCTGAGAATGCTTTACAAAATAAAAAAAACAGTTGTCCAGCAGCAGTGCATCAGGAGAGGATTGCTTTAATCCCTGATTACATTTATTTTTTAGTTGGCATTTTAATGTAGTGATGTAGAATGCCTTGAGTTGCACTGAGCCAGTCTGGGGCTACCTGTGAGTTAGTTAGCAGTTGTTTTTGTTGAAAATTTCAATGCAAGAAGAATGAAAAAAAAAAATGTAAGTTTAGATTTACATAATGTGAAGCCCCTCATACATATCCATAATTTTGTTTGTCTCCTTCTCTTTACAATCTTTCTTGGAAAGGACTAGGAAAGGTAATGTTATGTCTGTCAACTAAGGGAGGGCATTGTGCACACTGCATGTGACTTTGAGTTAACCATGTTTCATTTGCTCTCTTCTCTCATCAGCTCGATTTTTTTTTTTAGTTTCATGTATTGACCACAATCAATTTCATTAATTGATTTACCACAATAGCTTAACTCGTGTCTTGAAAATATGTTTCATCTAGTTGATTTACATAATATACTAATTCATGTATTTACAATATGTTTCATTAATTGATTTACATAATAGATTAATTCTTGTGTTTACCCAATTTTTATAATTGTGTTTACCCAATTGATTAGGTATTATTATTATTATTTTTTAAAATAATTTTCTGGGGAAATTATACAATGGTTTAAGATTTTACTTTGTCCCGCCTCCCGTTAAATGCCAAGATATTTTAAAATGACATTGTGATTTTTATTTTAAAATGAGCCGAAGGTTGATGTTAAGACTTTAATTTCTTGTGAGTGAATATTGCAGTTGTACTTGTCTTCGTATGTGTTTGCATTGAGATTACTGGAACTTTGCATTTAAAAAAACATAATTATAGAAATGTAAATAATTTTTAGGTTCCTGCCTGACATTAATATTTCCTCAAATAATGTGGATACACATCACATAGCCTCAACAACTCATTGTTTTACATGCTTCTCATCAGTCAACTCATTGTTTTACATGCTTCTCATCAGTCAACTCATTGTTTTACATGCTTCTCATCAGTCAACTCATTGTTTTACATGCTTCTCATCAGTCAACTCATTGTTTTACATGCTTCTCATCAGTCAACTCATTGTTTTACATGCTTCTCATCAGTCAACTCATTGTTTTACATGCTTCTCATCAGTCAACTCATTGTTTTACATGCTTCTCATCAGTCTAAATCATGGTTTTGTTTTGTGGATTTTAGTATTGTTTTTTTGTTGGTGTGTGTGAAAATCTTGTTAACATGTACTAATGGGATCTAGACAGAGCTCTAATCTTAAGGTTATGTTAAAAGCTCTATTGCTTTTCAAGGGGTTGAAATATTGACAGGTGGTCGTAATAACTATAACTGTCATTAATAGGTAAAATATTGACCAACATGGAATCAGACCAAGTTTAAAACACCCCCACCCCCCTCCCAATCAAAGACACACACACACAACCGCTGATATAAAGACTCATGCGAGCACACACACACACACACACATATATATATCAACCATTAAATACATTTTTTATTATGTGGAAATCACAAAATGTGAATTTATAAGGTTTAAAAATATAATATCTTGAATTCTCAATTTCTCCCATTGATAAAAGTTTGAGAACCACTCGAAGGCTGTAGAGAGTAAAAAAAAAAAAGTGTAGCTTGTCATGTGAAAACACCATCTGGAAATACTGCTGTGGTGGGATGGTACCATCTTTTAAAAAAAGAAAATAATTCTCTCTCTTGGGGTTTGATTAGTTTTTTTTTTTTAACTAGTCTCTGTTAAACTTGAATCTCATCTCTTCATCCATCTATCTAGTCTTTCACAAACTTTTATCTTGCCTCCTTAAAATATTTATCAACTCTCTCACATCTGTCAGATCAACACAACCAATAAGAAAGCAAACAGTTATTAACTTTTAATTTACTCACTGCAGTGAACCTCCGACAAAACGGGATCGCTGGCAGCACGATGGAAGAGGAGACATTGTGACATCACTGGACAATACAGACAGTATTTTCTTTCTACCCCAAACCCGCTCGCTTGACCAGTCGGCTGACATGAGGGCTTCACTTCTCAACAACCAACAAGATGCTCGGAAGCGCAGCTATGGTCAAAACGCCACCCTTAGGGAGGGGTGTGACCAGGGTGCTGGTCGACAGGTGCCTTTAACTAATGAGATCAGTTTTATGAGTGACAGGTCGCAGGCCGGGTCAGGCAGGTCAAGGCCAGACCATAGAAACTCGACCTGGCCTGACCTGCCTTCAGAAAAACAGATAGGCCTGCAGCCAAGATCTTTGCCTCCAAGCTACGCCAGACTCCACAAGGATGGCCACCCCACACATCAAGCTCACCCCACACATCAAGCTCACCCACACACCTTTGTTCAGCCCCAGCATGTTCAGCACCCCTCATCAACAAGGGACTACCCTACACTCTCAAAATCCCATTCATTTCCATCACACCATCCAGGCCATGTTGTGGCATTCCCACCGATATCTGTCCAACACCCCAGCCAGTCGGCTCACCTCTCATCGCAGCCTTACCCACAACCCAGCCGCGTGGCTTCATCTACAAGAGATCACCCTGCAGTCAGCTTTGATGCTCAGTATCCAAGTTTCCACAGCGATGACGACGATGTCTTTGGGACCCATCCGTCTGGCTACAAAAATGTCCCCAGCCTTCCCCGCCACAGCTCAATGAAACCAAGCCAGACAACCTACTTGACAGACACAGACGTCAATGATCAGCCCACCAGCGGTCCACATCTGACAATAGAAGACATAAGTTCTGTACTGGAGCCATATTCAGAACAGCCTTCCCAAGTTCACCCCAACCATTCCATGTCCCCGTCAAGCCATCCTTTGAACGGACTCGGCTACGATGACAGCTGCAACATTCCTCCCGCAGGATATTATGTCAACACTGGAGACAGAGACCGGCCATTTGCAATGGTCACCCCTTCCCAGAAGCCCACCGGCCCCAGTGATAATGAAAGCAATAACAGCAGTGGGAGACCATTAGGGTACACGAGGGATCACTTGCATGGTGTTGTTCAGCGGCTGCGAGAGGGCCCAAGGCCTCACATGCCCCGCCCATCCCGGCAAGCTAATATCTCTGGTTATTCTGACCCTTTCCCTCAAAGCCGTGGCAACCTGAACGTGCCAACTCAGATGTCAAAATCACATTCAAACTTGCAGTATCCAAGTTATTACAACATGGCAGGCAATGACATGGACAACGTAAGACACAGAAAACCACCTCGTTATGTACCAGATGTCGTCCAGGATCTTTACCCAACAGCTGAGCCATCCAGGCAAAGGGCTCTCAGTGAAGGCAGCCAGAAGTTTAGTGGCATGACAAACTATAATGGTGATGATGACTATCACAACAGGAGGCCACCCCCAGGAGATGCAGCTCTTGGTTTGAGGCCATCCCACAATTCAGCATCCTACCCGGATGTGTCGTCCTTGCCCCGCAGTGAAGCAGGCAGGTCTGGCAGAGATCAGAGGGATCAGTATGCACCAGTCCCAGGTTATTATGATGTACAGAGACCCCAGGCTTATGATACCATGCAGAGACCACCCGGGGAACACAGGGGTCCCCCACCTCTACCACCTCAGCGCCAGCAACCGAACCCACCATCATACCATCATAAAGCCCTCCCCAGCCAAGGCAGCACATTTGATCCCAGGGATGCTCTGCCTTTAAGGTACACAGCTCAACAGCCTGGATACACTGACCCTAGTGGACAGTACAGAGACTACCCCGTCCATCGCTACGGGGATGACCCGACCGCCCATGACACAGCTAGCCACAGCAGTGGCATAGGCAGTCGCAATACATCTCAGAGCACCGGATCGCTTCATCCTCGACGCGGTAGTGCTGGAAAGGGCAGCGCATCATTCAGCTCGGCACAGGATCCCGACTTGAGCTTAGATATGAGCCATGCCGGGGGTATTCCCAGTCACCGGCGGGACACCTCAGGTGATGAAAACTATGAATTTGACTCTCTGAACGCACTGGAGAATGACATCATTGATGATCTGAGGAGATATTCGCGGCTGAGCGGGGGGAGTGGGGGGCGTGGGTATGGACAAGGGGATGAGAGTGATGATGTCCCCGTGCCGCCACCAAGCAAACCAAGCCGGTATCCAAACGCAGAGAAGAGGTTTGAGAAACTGAGGGAGGAGTTCAAACAGTACCAGCAGCACCAGCATCACCCGTCTGAAGAGATGCGTCCGCCCCCAACTGCAGCGTCAGCACTGCCCATTGGTCAGAACGGTGAACCGCTCTATCCAATGGATAGTGAGATGTTGTGAGAAATTTGTTAGGATTTTAACATTTTTATATCAAAATATGTTTTATTATACCGTGAGACAAAAAGTCAGTGTCCTCGCACAATTTGATAATAATTGTTTTTAACAACAAAAAATGGAAATTTGTTTAATTATTTTATTTATGTTTGAGGGATTGTTGATTTAATTACCCTGTTATATAAGTTTCGGAAGAACCATTTGACCATTCCAAAATATATATTTTTTTCTTAGTTGTTATCTGTTGATGTAAAGAACAGGTTTTCATGCTTACAAACCAATAACATTTCTCTCCCCCCCCCCCCTCCCCCTCTTTAGTCTGTAGCACTTAGGGTTTGGTGGGGTCTGAAGCACTTAGGACTTGGTGGGGTCTGAAGCACTTAGGGCTTGGTGGGGTCTGAAGCACTTAGGACTTGGTGGGTCTGAAGCACTTAGGGCTTGGTGGGGTCTGAAGCACTTAGGACTTGGTGGGTCTGAAGCACTTAGGGCTTGGTGGGGTCTGAAGCACTTAGGACTTGGTGGGGTCTGAAGCACTTAGGACTTGGTGGAATGAGGCTGCAGCTGTTTGTCTTGTGTTAATGAGCTTAGAAACCCCCATCCAACGGGCTACACCTGCAATCATCACCCCAGCTGTGCAGTGAGGGGGGTTGCTGTTGGTTGTTTTGTAAGAGTCACTCCTCCTGCTGGTTGGTTTGTTGAGTCCTTTCATGCCTCTTCTTGAGCTCATGGATCTAGTGACCTGGTCCTGTGTAGCACTGGGGGTTATTAAATAATTAACACTCTGCCCCACAATCAACTAAATACACAAGTAAAAAATGTGTACATTAACAAATCTATCATAAAAGGGAAATATATGTTTTAATATCTCTCTCTCTCTCTATACATATATATACATATATATGTATGTATATATATGTTTAAAAGGCATCTCTTGTTTACAAAAGGGTCATTTCATCAATCAAACATTGGTATTTGTGCTGAGTCATGTTGATTTTACCTAATGCCAGATCTTTTGAGCCCTCTGACACCCAAGGAAACTATCAGTCACTGAGAATTTATTTTTGACACATCTCAAATATGTAAATTTGCGTGCATTTATTGGTAACGGCGTGGACTCGGAGGCAATAGAACCTCTGAACTTGAGCTGGTACAAGATAAAACAAAGCTGACAGTTTGTTCTCTCTTTCAACCAGTTGTCACCTTTAAATAGATTTATTCAGTTTGGGGGGGAGGGGGGTGGACACCACATTGAAATGAAGCGCAACTGATCCAAATACAAATTAACTGCCACACAATGAACACCCTTCTTAAAATGATCTCCCTTTTCCAAACAAGTAGTGTCCCTTTTTCTACTTTGAACGTCAGAATTTCAGAGTTTTGAAAGGCACCACCTCAGATCCGAGGATTTAATTAAGGATTTTTTAAATCTTGGTCTGAATGTAGAGTTATTCCTTTGTTATAAATATTGTATACTCTACGTTCTGATGAGTGTGTGGTCAATGGGTTTGCTGGTTCAGGTTTAACCTGAAACCCTTAGTAACCACCACTGGCCCAACAAAACTATGTCTCAAGAGCTGTTTGGTGAACTTAAAAAGTAAAAACATTTTCAAGTTGAAATAAGTCTTTAAGCTGGGTCCTCCTTTTGAGAAGGGTGACCATTCAATGTACTAAATCTGTTTTAAATGTATTAATGCCCTTGTCAATTGTTCCATGCAGCTGACTTTGTGGATAGTCATTTTGTCTGAAATTCTTTAGCTTCATATTTCCTTGCCATCACATAGATTCAGGAATACAAAGAAGTTTTAAATTTGGAAAAGTCTATGTAAGTTATCAGAAAAAAACAACTTCAAAATTCTAAAGCCCCAAAACGTTTTCTTAGAAAATAATTTGAAATATTTTTTTTTTTTAATGTATTTTTAAAATTGACTTTTAGCAAAGCCAGGTCCTGGAACACAATGAAGAGTTGTGATTTTTTTAAAAACTTTCAAAACACTGTGTCAATGACTCATGTACTGTTATATTTGTTGTTCTTTGGTGAAACTTTGACAATGATCTTATCAGTTATTTTTGTTTACATAGTGTTAACATTGATATACCCTTTGAATTCTGGTTTATTTGCTAGAAGAAGACACCGGAATGGAAGTTTTTGGCACACCGTTGCAGATGCAGACCCCCCCCCCCCCCACAGACCTCGACAACATAATATTAACACCCTTGTGTATATAATATCATAAAGTGAATATCCGTTGTTTTTTTCTGACAGAGTTGACGTCTGTATTAAATTATGTGGAGATTAATTTCTTACAAAAAAAACATAAAGTGTGTATTTAATTGCTTACTGCGTGTATAAATTTTGCTATTAAAGTAAATGAATTGAACTGTTACAATTTATTTGTATCATTTTCTGTTGTACCTTCTTTGCTACATTGTCTCTTACCCCCACCCCTTGTTTTAAAGCTGTCGGTATCCATTTATTAGAATATAATTATTGCTCATCAATGTCACTCAATAGCAGTTTTGTTTGTTTGTTTGTTAATGAAGACATATGGTCCATAGAAGGTCTTGTTTTCTTGTTTGCTTAGTGGCCAGCTTAAGACAGCAAAATGTAGCTGAGATGGCCCATAGAAGGTCTTGTTTTCTTGTTTGTTTGGTGGATAGTTTAAGACAGAAAAATTTAACTCAATATTTTTTTAAAAATTGCACTTTGAAAATTTTGTTTTGTATCCCTTTACCAGTGATGAGTTATAAATATTAAATTGTAGACCTTTACTAGTGATGTTTAGGCCTACTATCATGATAAGTTAAAATGAAAAGAAATTAATTTTTTTAGGTGGTTTTGTAATCTTATTGGTAGGAGAATATAGTGTGAGGGTTCTAAAACCTTAAACCCAGGTTCCCAAATTTAACTTATCACAATTTTCACTTTTCATATTACAGAAAACTTGTTACTCTCAGCTTAAATGTTGTTGTTTTTTAAAACCCTAAACACAGGGTTCATTGAGCCTCACTGCTTGACCGCAGTGTACTTTGACGTGAAACGCATAGTTCATCAGTTGTATTGGATCATGACCATTTTAATCATTGTGCTAGTTCTGAACTTGGTGCACAGATTGCTGATGAGACTGATTCTTGCATGAAATTTTCTTCTGCAGCAAGTGCGGGGAATTCAGATGCAGAGTTAACCAGTGCTTTTATTGTGCTCTGCATCCGCTCTTCTGTTGGCTTCATATTGATTGAGGCCTTTGTGTAAAGAGGAAGGCCATCATGCTCGATCCCTTGCAAAACACACTCCCATGGGTGTCAAGTCCCAAAGTGCCCAAGAAGACCCATGGTAGTTGAGACTGCCCATAGAGGTCTTTTGTAAAACTTAAAAAATATATATTTATGTCCACCAAAACCAGTCCCCATGATATCTATGTGTTCAGTTGTTTTATTGATATCTTGTGTTGTTTTCCGCAGAACACTAAAATTTATCACTGCCATATAGATGGAGTACAGATGTCATAGCATGCTAGTATGTATTCATAAATTAACTGAATTGACTTATTTTTTTTTGGTGTGAATTCATAATCATTGAGCTGGATAGCCTGTAATTTAATTCAGTTGGACTGCAGGATACACGTTACATTTTATTTGATTTGCTGTTACGGGACCACCTGAATGTTATTTATTTATTTCTGTAATGAAAAGGAACATAATGGATTAATAAATAGTTGAAGGGTAACAAAGTCTTTAAACCATTGTTGTTAAAACATTATTTGCAAATGAATTTGTGGTTGTTAAAAAATTCATAATAAGCACTTGTTAATTATTTCTTAGCATTGTTTGTTTAATTTTTTTATTTTAATGTTGAAAATCAGACAATAGTATTAGAGACTGTATTAATTACTTTGTCAGACCTGTAGAATTTAATTGGTTTACATGACAGAAGCATAATAACAATACAGTTAGTTACATAAATCTATACTAATTCATGTTCAGTTCAATATTCATTTGGGTGTTATTTGTATGAATTATTGAAAAATGGTTTTAAAAAAAATAGATTCTATCAATTGATTTATTTGATATTTGTTTTTCTCTTCTTGGACCTTCAAAATCAAGAACTTAAACACTAGAAAAATTAGGTTTAAAAAAAAAAACTATTTGAAAATGACTTACCCTCCTTGTAAAGAATAAAATCTTCCCGGTGCAGACAACAGTTAAAAGAAAATCAACAAAACATTTTTCTTCACATTTAATATACTGTATATTTTGATGATATTGTTCGGGTCAATGGTTCTCAAATTAATTCTATATACACTTTATAAAGGATGTTTCTAAAATGACGAAAAAAAAAGAAAAAAAACAACCAACAAAGCATGGCTTATTTTAATGTAATATATTTTTTTTTTTAATTTCTCAAAAAAATTGCACAAGTATTAGTATTATGGTATTCCAGAATATGAAACATTTCATTTGTAAATGAAGACATGAACAAGTGCTGTCTATAGACCTCTTTCAAAGCTTAGAGCTTGTTTGTTGCAGCTAATGAAAGAACACAAGATTCTTATTTCTTTCATTGTTGCAGCTAATGAAAGAACACAAGATTCTTATTTCTTTCATAGTGAAAATAGTGTAGCCAATTTCTGTTTTTGCTCTTTCCTTAAAGTAAGAAAATTAATTATCTGATTTTATCTATAGTTTTTGTTCACAAAGATGCATTAAAAAAAATTTGTGTATCAATACTTTTAATTATTTTTTTAAAAGTAATCTTTCAGATGATAACTTTGTTTTCTGTTCGTTGATGCTGCATTTAATTTTATATTTACTTTTTCTGAATTAATTTTGTTTTTCTTAAAACTATTAAGTTTGTACTAAAATAATTTTGTTGTCATCACCTTGAAAAGGTTTTCCTGATATTTGAAGTTATTCCATTTTCCTCTCTCACACCATTTGAGATTTTTTTTGTTTTTTTTTTTGTTTAATCAACAAATCAAAACATTCTAACACATTACAAATGTTTTTTTAAATATACAAATTTTTTTTTTTTTAAAGTATGTCCATAAGTTAAAAAAAATTATTTCGTGTGTTAGCATGGAGCAATGAGTTCAGAGTGTAAGTTAAAGACCATTGTGTACCATGCTATGAAGAGGAGGGTACACTTCTCTTTTCTTTAAATTCTAACATCATTGAC